AACCTATAGGAATACGGGCAAACAACTACTAAAGCAAGCCCGTTGTTCGCTGGAATTCCTGCCGAAACCTATTGTTCGCAGACTCGTCAGATGAGACTGTTGGCTAGGATGTGAAGGCGAAGACAGCAGGGACCAGCTGAGGAGGTCAGGGGTTGTTGAATATAGGGTTGGGCTCTGATAGCATGTTAGAATAAGACCAGAATACAACTTATTGATACAAAGAGTGGTATATATACCTATTACATGATTAACTAGAAAAGAAACAATTAAACTCAAGATATAATAGAAGAAGGATATAAAACTAAATATAATATAAAAAAGGAAGGAATTCAAAAGAAATAACTCATAATAATCAGAATTAAATAATAGTTATTATTAGCCATTAAAATACTCTAATATGTAGATAATATTATAATCCACAAAGCGATTAAAATTGGATTGCCAAAGTAAAATATCATCTATAAAATTATTTTCTGGACAAAGAACTGGATTTTCCTAAATACTTTTTATAATAAAACAAAAGAGCTACGCATTCGACCTTTATAAGTAAATTAGCATTCTAGATTAAAAATTTGCTGGCACTACTATTTGGACAAAGAATGTTGCAAATGAAGAGGAAAGTTCTAAAAATATTGATTGTTATCTTATGTTAGTAGATAAATTTATTATCTTATTGACACAGAATCAAACATCTAATTTGATGCAGTTGTGAATCAACAAGTGCAATGTCAAAAACAAAAAACTTAAAAAGCTTTTTGTACTCGTCCATATCACGAAATCACTAAGAACTACCTAATGTACACTAAGAATGGGCATCTTTAGGCGGTAGTTTTTCTAATGCTAACTATGTTGTATCAAATAAGGATAGAAAATCCAGTGATAATTTGGTCTCATGAAATGTTATGAATTAAGACCCTCCTGAGAAATTTGATTTTCCAATAGCGCAACCCAGGACCTTAAATTATAATAATCATGTTATCATCAACATTTTCAGTTATGTAACCTTCAATAAAAAACCCAAACACATATAGTTAAACTATTACTTCAATCGAAATACTACATTATAAAAGATATTGTTATTCTCATATTTCCTAGTAAGAATAGATGCAACATATATTTATCAAAGTTAAGGTCCATTTCAATTTTTCAAACTATGTAAAAGTTGAAGCACATTAAAGCATATATGCTCTAGTATGAAGGGAATGTTTACTTTAGTATAATATTTTAAGCATGTTTCTATATATAATTAGTGGATTACATACCTCTACATATTATGTTCGATTGCACTAATATAAAAAGGGGCCATTATCACAGCATTATTATTATTATTATTATTATTATTATTATTACTATTATAAACAAGCACACAAACATACTCTATATCAAAAAACACTAAGAAATTCTAAGACATCCACAGGGTTAACAAGGAATCATCAAAATAATAGGACTAGGAGATTGGAAAGTATAAGGCTTAAATTGACCTAAAACTTACAAGTTTAGAAAGATTTAATCCTGACAGATTCACTCCTCGGAACCTAACTTTAGCAGACTGAATTATTTTGATTATCTCTTTTCGTGTAAGTTCGGCTTCCAAGATCTTTTCATCCTTCTTCTTGCACATGTTTGACTTGATATATTCAATCAATCCCTACAAAAGAATGAAACACAGCAATACAACCTCAAAAATCAAAAGTTTGCATCACTTTTTCAGCATTAAAAACTATTGAAACAATATGCATTACAAAATTAAAGAGGGAGAGCTACATTCGAAAAAATATATAAAGATAAGATTTACATTATGGGACAAGCATAATGAAAAAAAGAAATATATAGAAATGAGTAAAAACAACTTTTGAGGGATAAACAAAAGAGTACAAGAATGCTCGAGGAAATGAACTCGCAAGGAATGAAATATAAAAATAAACATAATGAAAGGATTATAGTTAAAAGAATAACTGCATTCAAAGAGATCTAAAAAAAATTTGAAATAGTAGTGTTACCTATTTTCACTTTTTTTTTTCTTTGAATAATTATTGATACTTCGAAGTTAGGGTTGTACATGCTAGAATGCACGACTACTTGAGACTTCGAGCCTCCTCTAAAAATTTTCATCGTCATATAGCAATATAAATGGCATAACACTAATGTACAAATTGAGGTAAGCACAAAAGATTGTGATCTATGAAGCACAAATCTATAACAAGGTTAATTAGAAAACAAGGTTAATTAGAAATTGGAAGAAGAGTAAGAAAAAGAGCAAGAAAATCATAGAAGATGAGATAAGGTAATAACTTGTTTGGAATAATTCATGTACCATTCAATTTATGCTCAAGAAGTGTCTGAGACGTTTTAGATACATGCTAGAAAAAATTGTTTTTAAAAATTTTTTTTAAAAAAAAAAAAAATGCCAAACATTGCTTAGCATTATTCGGGGTGGAAATATCAGTTGAAATTTGATGCTCGAAAAGTTTTATGTTGATTCAAAATTGATTCAGCCAAATCAAGTTGAATTCTAAATCCTAACTCAAAAAGAATTTTGAGCCAATTTCATCCATTTTACAAGAAGCTTGAATTTTGACGAGCTAGTTCAAATCATTAATATGTTTAGAAGTACATATATATATATATATATATATATATATACATATATA